TCTGCCTCTTTCTCTACCACTCTCTGCTTTTATCTTTATCTCTATCTCTTTCTCTACCACTCTTTGTTTCTGTCTCTATCTCTTTCTCTGTCTCTCTTTCTCTACCACTCTCTGCTTCTATCTCTATCTCTGTCTCTATTTCACTAGCACTCTCTGCTTTTATCTTTATCTCTATCTCTTTCTCTACCACTCTTTGTTTCTGTCTCTGTCCCTGTATCTGGCTCTCTTTCTCTACCACTCTCTGCTTCTATCTCTATCTCTGTCTCTTTCTCTACCACTCTGCTTCTATCTCTATCTCTATCTCTCTTTCTCTACCACTCTCTGCTTTATTCTTATCACTATCTCTGTCTCTCTTTCACTACCACTCTCTGCTTCTATCTCTATCTGTATCTTTATCTCTGTCTCTCCTTCTCTACCACTCTCTGCTTCTCTCTCTATCTCTGTCTCTTTCTCTACCACTCTCTGCTTCTATCTTTATCTCTATCTCTGTCTCTTTCTCTCTTTCCCTACCACTCTCTGTTTCTCTCTAACTCTATCTCTGTCTCTCTTTCTCTACCACTCTCTGCTTTTATCTTTATCTCTATCTCTGTCTCTACCACTCTCTGCTTCTGTCTTTATCTCTATCTCTTTCTCTACCACTCTTTGTTTCTCTCTCTATCTCTCTTTCTCTCTACCACTCTCTCTCTTTTCTTTTTTTCGCTATTTTACGATTTACTTACATACATGAGTGCAAATAAATTTATTATACATGCATGAATGCTCCATACATACGTACACACACACACATAAAAAAAACACGGACCCGTCCCATACAAGAGAACACATACATGCAATACGTACATAAAACAACAACAACAACAGCAAACAACAGCAAAAACTCACTTACATCAAGACACATTTTAGATACATTATCCCATCGTACATAAAACAACAACAACAACAGCAAACAACAACAAAAACTCACTTACATCAAGACACATTTTAGATACATTATCCCATCGCGGAAACACAAATTCTTCAGCTGGCTTGGGATCCAAGGCAAGCGACAAATTGCAAATATGGAAACAAATACATGGAATGTTTATTTGCGTGCATTCGACGCCACAGTGACAAGGAGAAAGCACAAATCGTGGCACGTCTTATCTTCTCATCAATCGATGATGCAAATAAGATCGAATCTTATATATTGTCTCTAATCTCTTATAAAGAGGCTAATTATACGTTACAGTTCAGTAAATAGGTTTCGAATTGTTCTGGTGTTTTATTTTTCCAAAAATTTAATAAATCTTTGTATTGCATTGTTACGTTATTATCATTATTAGTATCTCTATCTCTATTTCTATTTTAATTGTTCCCGTTATTATCATTATTATTATCTCTATTTTTTTTTCTTTGTATTATTATTATTTTCATTATTGCTATTATATCAATTATCATTGTCATTATTAATATCATTATCATTTTTACCATAAATGCCTTTCTCTTCTTTCTTATTGCTGTTATTCTTTGTTATTTCTATCATTATCATTATTATGATTATGTTTATTATTCTCATTATCTTTACTGTTTATCAATCCTCTTGTTATCTTTATTATTTCTTTATCATTATTATTACCATTATTATTTTACTTCTTCTTAGTATTATTATTATTATCACCATCATCATTATCATTATCACTGTCATTATCATTTTCCTTATTATCATCATCCTCATCACCATCATCATCAAAATCAGCATCATCATCTATTTATTAATTCATTTATCATTATATTATTATTACTATTACTATTACTATTATTATTATTAGTAGTAGTAGTAGTAGTATCATTATCATTTGATTATCATTATTAATATCATCATCATAACTATTGTTATTGATACTCTTTTTATCATTATCAATATTATTGTTATCCTTATTATTATCATCAATAAAACTAATAATTTCATTATTATCATTTTCATTATCATTATTATTTTCTTACTATTATTACTAGCTTTATTGATATGATTAATACTATAATCAATACCGTTATTATTACCATTTTATCATTACCATTATTATGATTAAGATTACTATCATTACTGTAATAATTTTTATGATAATGATTATTACTTTTACAATTATAATCTTCGTTATCATTATTATTATGATTACCTTTATTATCATTATTATTTTTTATTGATATTGTTGCTGTTATTAGATTACTAATCTTATTCTTATTCTTATTATTCATTATCATTATTATTACTTTCATAATATTACTATCATTATCATTATCATTTTCACCATCATCACTGTTATCCTTATCATTATTATCATCATTATCATTATTATCATTATTATTTTTTTATCATTACTACTACTGTAACCTTTATCAATTATTGTCATAACCATTAATGTTATAATAATCATTACTAATATCATTACTATTCATCATCATTATTATCATAATCATTATCATTATTATTGTTAATAGGCCTAATAGTAGTATTGTTATTATTATTACTTTACTTATCATTATCATTATTATTTTTAGTGTTATCTTTATCATCATCACTTTATCACCATCATTATTTACAATGATTGTTATTATTATCACAGCTATAACTATTACCATTATTATCATTATCATATTATAATTATTATAATTATTATCATTATCATTAATTTCATCATCATAAATGATGATACTACTAATAATAATGATAATAATAATAACGATAACACAAAAACATAATGATAATGATAATAATTATAATATTAATACTAATAATATTATCATAATAAAGATAAAATAGTTTTATTATCATTATACTTATTGTTAATAATATCATTATCATTATTTATATTATCATTATCACTATTATTATTATCATTATTATTATTATCATTATTTTTATTACTATTATGATCATTATTATCATTATCATCATCAATATTTACATTATCATTGCTATCAGTATCATCACCATCATTTTTATTGTCATTATTATCAATATTATTATTAATAATATTATCACTATTATCATTGTTACTATAATGAACATCATTATTGATTATATCATCATTATTGTTATTATTATTACAACTATTATCATTATCATCAATAATATTATTATTATTTTCATTACCATTATCACCATCATTATTAATCTTATTAGTAGTAATAGTAATGTTAAAGTCATTACTATCATCATCATTAGCATTATTATTATCATCATTAATAGTAATAGTAAGAAAGATGATAATAACAACAACAACAACAACAACAACAATAATAATAATGGTAACGACAACATCAATGAAGATAATCATAATAATCATTATAATGATGATGATGACAACATCAATGATAATAATCATAATAATAAATAAAATTATAACAATAATAATAATGATAATGATGAAAATAATAATAATTACTATTAGTTGTTAGTAGCATTATCATGATTGTTATTACTATTATTAGTAGTAGTAGTTAATATTATTTTATTATTATTTATTATTATCATTATTGTTATTATTATCACTATTATTATTACTATAGAAAGATATCGTTTCTGGAATTACATGTTATTTTCCTTACTATTGTGCCTTTTCTCTTATTTTCGAAATCATGTTACTGAGTTTCTTTCTTTGTATCCCCATTCAACAGCAAACTTTTGGAAATGCGTGGAAAGGCTTCAAAGATAAATATATTTTCTTTTCTTCGATTCACGTATCTTCGAATCACCAATGAGACTGACAAGACTCTTTTTAGCACTATATCTGTATCTGTATTATACAAGAGCGGACGAAACTATAGCTTAGAGTGAGTACAAGATCCAAAGCATCTAAATATGTAGATAATGTTATCATATATGTTTGATGATTAATAAATTTGATATGATATATTAATGAAAATGTAAGACTAGGGCTGTTATATAAATCTCCTATGACTGATGACTTACTAATGTCTTTCAAGCTTTCATGATTTTGTAACACTTGGGACTGGTGAAATTCCTAATTCATTCACTTTCATTTTTCTTTTAAATATGCAAATTCTAGTATGACATGAAAATGTATATGAAAATCCTCAAAATATATGTGAAAAACATGTATGTATTCGTATATAGTTCTTTCCACTTGGCCATTAATTTCGATGTAAACTATTTATATTTTCCAGTAAACGTGTTGTTTTCATTGTTGGGAAACCAGTAACAAATAGTTTTACTTTTCAGTTATTGAATAACAGGATAATAGATATAAAAAATTGATTTATAATTTTATTAGTCTCTAAAACATTTTGTGTGACAAATTGTAAAAGCTTTTAGAAAGAGTTTACTCCCATAAAATCAGATAATCTTGACATATTTCCACGTAACATTGGATTAAAATATATCATATAAACAGATGCTAAAAGAGCACAAGACTATCATCAGATTATCAAGAAAACTTTCAATGATTCTCTTACATAACAGCAGCTTGTTTTTTTTTTTTTTTTTTTTTTTTTGACTTACAGGTCGTAGAAAAGAGGTAAAGGATGAGATGTCGGAAGTGAAGGTCTCGGAACATCTGTAAAGACATTCTATAAGTATACTTGTGTCCGTCTCTCTCTCCATCTGCTTGGCTGTCTTTCTATCCATCTCTCTGCCTCTGTCTCTGTCTGTCTGCATCTCTGCCACGTACACGTATATTATTCCTACATAAGTGGACAGAGAAGAGAAGAGAGAGAAGAGAGAGAGAGGAGAGAGAGAGAGAGAGAGAGAGAGAGAGAGAGAGAGAGAGAGAGAGAGAGAAGAGAGAAGAGAGAGAAGAGAGAGGATTATTTGTGAAAGTTTCATCAGATCTCCATTAACTAGATTATAGCTTACATGTCGGCAATTCAAGTCTTGTTTTATATTGCTTGCTTCAAAAATAAAATAATTATAATACTAATGTAAACGATGATCTGACAACAGTTATGACGATTAAGTTATAATTAAATTAGCTGAAAAAAACACCATTTTATTACCTCGTGTTACGTTGTCAGTAACAGCTTCCTGTATTCATCCTCATCAAATATTTCCACATTCACTGGTCACGTGACTAATAGCTGTTACCGAAGCTATATCAACTGATTGATTATTTTCCTTTGCTTGCGGTTGCTTGTCCATTTCTTGCAATTGCTTGTCCATTTCCTGCACCGATAAACAAGACGAGTTGTTCTTCCTTGACGTATCAAATATGGGTGACTTTGTAGCATCAGGTAAGTTTTTTAAAAGGTCTATTACATCCAGAAAGCCCTTTACCAGTGCTTTGTTCGGAGCTTCGTCACCATTCTCACCTCGTTGACCTGAGTTCAGAGAAAACGGTGTGTGTTCAGTCTTAATCAAAAAGTAAATTGCGTTTAATATATGGTGATATTAGGAACCGTTCACAATTTTATGTTTCTTTTTTTCGTATCTTATCTATGGCGTAAAGAAATGCAACGTATTGGTAATGAATAATGATAATGAAAATATATATTGATAAAGATAATGATAATAATAATGATGAGAATAACAATGATGATTAAATAACAATGGTGATTAAATCAATTATGAAGATGGTAATGATGATGGTAACAATAGAAAATAATAACTCATAATTATAATGTTTATAACAGCAACAACGATCAATAACAACAATAATATTAATAATGACTAATAATACTAATAACAACGACAACAATACTGTTGGTTATAATGCTTTAAACATAGATAATATTGAAGATAACATTGTACAGTGTGTACTACAGAAAAAGAACAACAACAAATATTGAATGAAAGCTATAAGAAAATAAATAAATAAACACACTCGCACAAATAAAAACAATATATAACAAAAGAAAAATCATAACTTCAGAACTACTCGCCCTATGAACACTACAAACAACAACATGAAGGGGATTTTAATACTTGACGAAGTAGCCGACGAGAGTGATCCGGATAACGACCCCTCGCCCTCGTAAGCGTAGGCTCGGAGGTCGTCCTTCGGTATAAGGAACAGAGGCGGCTTTCCTGAAGGAGTGTCGGCTTGCGGTGGGCTTTCGGGCTCTGCGTTTGCGAAGTTATTTGTAAGTTTATCTATTTCTCTGGCTATGTTCGTATATATACAACATACACACATACGCACACGTACGTACATTCACCCTGATACATACATACACACACGCACACGAACACGTACGTACATACACACTGATACATACAGACACACACACACACACACACACACACACACACACACACACACACACACACACACACACACACACACACACACACACACACACACGCACGCACACGTACGTACATACACACTGATACGTACGAGTACATATCCGCACCTATACACATATGAACACGCAGACGTACACACATTACTATATGTTCGAAAAATCAATAACAATGTTTAACGAAATAAACATACTTTTATAAGATATTTCAAGACTAATTGTTTCATGTTTTGATTCACTTTTAAAGATTATTAGAAGCCATTCATACCTTTATTATGCACATTAAGCTGCTCCGGGGGTAGCCTGACCAGAAGACATTTCAGAGAAGCTTGGTGCTGCAGTTCGGGCTTCGCACAGGCTGACCTTTCGTCCTTTTCGTTCTCTCCTACGTTTATCCCCTCCTTCTGTCTCTCTGCTTCGTCACTCGACTGCTTTCGCCTCGACCGAGTAAGCCAGGAGTAACGGAGGCGCATGGACACGACCACACCAACCACCACTGTGTACACATTTATCTAAGAAATTTATGACCGTGATTTACAGTCTCCTTGCGCCATAGGCCTTGGGAGCAGTTGGAAGCATCTCATAAAATGAAATGGTGGAATGTCGGGGAATGTCATGTAAATGTTGGTGGAATGTCGGACAAATTTGGATGTCGGACTGTCGGACAAATTGGTGGAATGTCGGACAAATTGGTGGAATGTCGGACAAATTGGTGGAATGTCGGACAAATTGGTGGAATGTCAAAACAAAAATGGAATGTGGACAAATTGTGGAATCGGACAAATTATGTCGGACAAATTGGTGGAATGTCGGACAAATTGGTGGAATGTCAGACAAATTGGTGAAATGTCGAACTACGATGAATTTAATTATGGATTTTGTATTTCTATATCATCAGTATTATCATTCACATAGATAAAACATTTGTGACTATAAACCGGAAACGTGTGTAAATGAATACTTACCTACAAAAATAACAGACAGCGCCAATGCTATTATGATCAGCTGCATCGTATAAGGATGAGCCGCCGAGTCTCGGTTGGTCCACTGACAGTGTTGGCCGGAGTGGCTTGGTCCGCATAGACAGAGAAATCCAGGCTTTGCGTTCGAACACGAGCCTCCATGCAGACAGGGGTTCCACAGGCATTCGTCCACGTCCTCGCAGGCATCGTCGACATACTGCGTCCCCGGCCCACAACTAGGAAAGAAAAAGGAAAGAAGAAAAGCGATATGTGTCATCATCACACACACACACACACACACACACACACACACACACACACACACACACACACACACACACACACACACACACACACACACACACACACACACAAGGGCAAAGTCCAAGATCGAACCATGCGTGTGCCATATTTCTGATTATAAAGACATTAAGGTTATTTTACCTGCATATACTTCTTCCCCAGGTGGCAGAGCAGGTGAGCGGAGCAGGGCAACTGGTGTTGTAACAGGTGTCGGCCGCAACACATCCAGAGTCCACATTTTGCACTGTTGTCACCTGCCCCCAAGGGGATAAGTTGTTGGCAGGCGGGAGCGGTAACGATCGACCAGAAACTCGTAGATCGTCTATACAGGCTGTTAGGAATTAGTTAATAAATAATCTTTACATCGTAGAGGTCTGTTATGCATATGATTGACCCTAATATGCAAATCATTAAATACATGCATGTCATGGCAATGCTAGTAATGGAATTGAAGTTAATGGTACATGTAGTAATGGTAATAGGGATACAGGAACTGCTGAGTGACCTTTAAACCAGCATGCACTAAGTTTGAGCGCAACTCACCGTCTCGCAGATCATCTCGGACGCTCACGAGACCAACCCCCGTAAACTCCGGTACTCCTCCAACGTACACGGACTCGATTCGGCCCACGTGCATCGGTGCCAGTACGCCTTCACGCTCAAAGTCAGGCACCGAATCATTTCTTCTCCAGCCGTCGCCGTCATCCACGCTCACCGCCAGGCTGTAACTCTGGCATTCTGCTCTGACCAAGTGCCACGATCCGTCATCCAGTGGGCGGCTGTTCACACATGCCTCCCTTGATATACGCCCACCGTAGCTCAGCGATGCACACGCCACACCTGCACGGAGCTGCATATTCCACTGTATTAATGTGAATGCAAGTTTAACCAATTTCTGTTATTAATATGTACTTATTGCAAATAAATTTTGTCTAGGCTTGGAACCAGAAGGCAGTGTAAGAGAGATAAGAACCTTAAAAGGAAAAAGAATTGATAAGTGATGACTCTATATGACATTATCATCTGTTTTACTTTCTCTAAATAAATGTATATATACTATGGAAGGTAACTAACATGTATAGACAAGGCATTAGCATCGTCATGAGTTTTGACGAGAACCAGCTGACCGGCTTGAGCGCCTTGCATTCTCACTCTCAACTGAACGGTCAACAGATGGGGCGGCGGCTTGAACGACAGGGCTATCCTCACGTAGGATGACGTTCTCAGAGTTGTAGGCACTGTGGCCACCTGGCAACCGAATCCTGACCTCCCGGGGTCACATTCACACTCTGGCTGTTCAACCCCGCCCTCGCAACGCCCGTGTTCTCTGCAGGTAGTCATGACCCGACGGCAAGCCCTTTCCTGTGACCTGCAGCCGCTCTCACTGCCCTCACTGTGGGCCGGTTCTCCTAGGTCTACCAGCTGCAACGAAACAATAAGACGGTCACTCATCTACTACAATACTTCGTCTCCTCTATCTTTACTCATCATGAAAAGTCTAATCATATGCAGAGCAGAATAATAGTACCACTTAAATTCTACCTGACCGTTGATTCTGAGGTGCGAAATACAGCCGTCTAGAGAGCGTGAAGTAGGTTCCACAGTCCATCCGTGGTCAGCTAAACGGAGGGGCGTGCTTGCTCTTCCACCCAACTGCAAGATGCCATGACCTAACGAAGGGCGGACTGCTTGGGCACTTCTGTTCTTCCATGTACCTCGAGCCAGACAGCGTGTATCCTCTTGGCCAGAGTTTTGTACATTCCTTGTACATGGGTCCAGAATCAGCATCACACCCTGTACAACAAATCACATTATCGCACATAAAAACGTTAATTAAAGTACCATATCTATTATCATATGTTTAACATATATAATGCACTCATATTTTAATCAAAGGTTGTCTTTAATGAATTCATATAACTGCGAAAACATGAATTTACCTTCGACCGTATATGAATGCGTATGGTATGCCAATATCCATTACTGATCGTCGTGTTCAGTTCTACTTTCAGAGGTCCACCTCGACCCTGCAGCAATAACTGAGGTCTTCCTTGCCAAACTTGCATCACCATAATTGTTGACGAAGTGTCTGGCGTCTGAGGTTTGGAAGACAGAGGCCCTGAATACAGAACAAGGCCTTCCTGCTGACGAGTTAGGATACGGAGGGATATCGTGGTGGGTAAACAGGAAGGAAGTGGACGTACCCATGTCCATCCTCTCCCGAAGAAGGTGCGGGCGAGGATTTTGCACCTTGAACCCCATGATTCACCTGGACAAATGCACCTGCAAAGTATTGTATCAATTCAGTAATGGAGTATAAAGCCTCTTTGAACTGAGTTAGATTAATAACCGATTTTCTATTCATATTGTTAAATATTTCTCCTTATACGTGTTATCATAGTCCTGGCTTCTTACTGCTTTCCCTTTCGACATTTATTTCATGTATATTTTATTTATATTACTACAAAAATCTTTCGGCAAAGCACCACCATCAACATCTTTTAATCTACTATTTAAACACCCCTAAACATTGAATAAATAAATAAATAAATTTAATAAATAAATTTTTATGAACTGAGAAATTGGCTACTTACCTATTGGGTGTTGGTGCTTTAGGACATATCCCACCGTTGAGACAGGTGCTGGAACTTGTGCAATATTCGGGCTCGTAAATGTTGCAGTTGTTGTTGCGAGTGAGACGCGGAGTAACCAGTGAGGTGGAATTAATGTCCACCACCTGTTGGAACAGCAACAACTTAATTATCGTCAGTCTCTTTTTTTTTTTTTTTTTTTTCTTTCGTATTTAGTTCTCTTTTTTTTTATTTATTTTTTTTTTACTTTCTTCCCTTTTCATGGACTATTTTGAATTAACTTATTTTTTTTTTTTTATGAATCGGGTTCAAAAAATAGAAATCAATTAGATCTACGTTAGCGTTACTTTTGCTCAGGTATATAATATATATATATATATATATATATATATATATATATATATATATATAATATATATATATATATATATATATATATATTATTATAATTATATGCTTTTCCTGTGTGTGTGTGTGTGTGTGTGTGTTAGTGTGTATGTATATGTATAATCTGCAAAAGCTAATCATTAAGAAAATTATCATCAAACAAAAGTTTCACCCAAAGAAGGGTTAATTTTTAGTTGATTAGATAGAGCTCAATCCATTAATAGCCAATTCAAGACGGAATGATGCATAATTTTGTAGTTTGACAAGTAAAGTCGGATGGATCGGTATTTTTTCATTCACCACAATAAAATTATTTTTTTCTCTATAAGAAGATATCCTTTATTTTAAAATAATGGAAGTAATGTAAACATCATGCAGGAGTATACTTGTCTATAGGTAACAGTTCTGGGAAAATGTAGTTAATTTGCATCTGATGATATAAGCCTTTCTGCCCAAGATTATTTATTCCAAAGAAAGGATCATTAACTGATATTTATCTGCCATATATATGCTTATGTTTTGTCAGCCTAGTCCAAGGAATACAGTCCGTCTTCCAACAAAGAATATTACTTGCCTGTCGCAGAATGAAACTTACCTTGTTGAATTGAAAAGATACTTCTAATCGGTTACATTTAACTTGCTACATAATGTTTTTACTGTCAGTGTTATCTACTTCGACAACGTAAGGTTTACTACAGGAGGTGAGTACTTACCGGGTGCATGTGACATGTTTTCTCTGCCATAAGATACAAAAACGTTCAGCTGAACACACCTTATTTGTCAAATTGTTATTTATACAACACCTTAGTTATATTCCGTACGAAGGAGGTAGTGGACATGATTGATTTCACGAATTAACACTTATTTACGGTATTCAAGGGAAACTAACTATAACAGTGGAATACATGTCTGTTTGAAAAGAACATATCCAATAATATATGAAGTGCATCATCTGCCACATGAGCCCGTACAAAAGCAAAAGAATTGGA